TATATTTCTCAATACGTTGTTAAGGATTTCTGTTTTTGTATTACAGTTTTTACGTCTTTACGTGGGTTTTCGAAATTTATGGTTTTTCTTTTTGATAAATCATACACCTCGTTGCTTGTATTCAGAAATCAAATATAAGAATTTCATCAGAATTTATTCCACTCAATTTATAGTTCAGTTATAAATCACCCTGACAACATATTTTACAATTTTATATAACTACCATAGCAACATGTACAATAATTTACAGATCTTTTATATCTCTTATTTTATCTCTTCATATCTTTTATAGTTTGTCAGCTAAAATTAATCAAAATAGCATGTCAATAGATATAAATATATTTTATGTGTTTGAAGTGTCATTACATCCTGTAGGTTGGCTCAATGTTGAGGGGGGTGTCTAAGATAAAGAGAATTGTTATTAGAATGTCCAGAATATAATATAAGATTATTTCTAATTAAGTTAGTTACGGAAAAATTAATAAGAATAGCTGGATGGCTGTTGAAAAAGATACAACTTTGGCATTGAAGGTTTAGAATATAACAAATGATTTGTTACGACTTCTAGGTTGGCTTAAAAGGTTAGGTTCGTCATTTTGGGTGTTGATTTGGGTCTGATACATGTAAATAGTCTTCAGAAGTACTAGAACTGTACATAAATTGCTGAATTCCTTTAAAAATACTTCAAACTAGGAATTTCTCTTTCTATTTCTATGTATGTCTTCTCTATCTCAACAAATGAGGAATCAGAAAGAAAGTTAAAATTGGATTGATTAGGTATTGACATTGGTTAAAGTGAGATTTGAATTTGTGAATTAGTCAACTCAGTAAATGAAGGTGGTTAATATAATGATGTGGAAGTTGAAAGAGACAGTATAAGAGTGAGAACAGTAATGTAGATAGATAAAGGTTGATGCTGTAAGATTATATGTCTGTATGGTTAGCTAGATAAGATTTCCTATACCTAACTTATCGATTTTTACACGGTGTAATGACTTTTTTGAGACGTGTATATTTTTTATCTTTAGCTTGACTTTCTTATTGAAGAATTCTGATATTTTTATAAAATACATACAAGTAATCTGCCTTCCAACATTCAAAAACACCTCCATAATCTCCTGAATTTCTTTAACTTGACCAAATAGATTGTCCCTGATATAAATTTATACAGAATCTAAAACAAGTGTATAAAACCTGTATAAAATGTGTATTTTTTGTTGTTTTCAGTTTGTAGTGTTATTTGAAGTATTTATACCCCTGGTATTATTTGTTATTTTATGGTTAATACGTAAAAAGTTACCTGCTTATCAAATTGGTACCGGTAAGTTATTTTACAATCAGTTATTTTATTACTTACCTGCTGATAGGTGAATATTAACATTATCACTATTATATTTAGTACTCTTCAAATTCAGATTTTAAACTCATACTCAGCACCTAGCAGACAACCCATCTACTCACAGAGCTATTCTACTTCCATTGATGTTAATAATATAGTTTAATAATTTATAATTTTTATAGGAAAGTACCATGCCATGCCCTTACCCTCGTCTGGAATGGTCTCTTTCATGCAGATGTTTTGTGAGGGAGGATATCGAGATGAAACTGGCTTTATGAATTATTCTAAATCAGGGTAAGTAGAATATTTCTAGTTTACAGGATATTTTCTAAAAACAAGAGGTTTGGTCAAGCATCACAAGGATCTGTGAACTTCAATTTTACAATATGGTTGTTTCATTTCTTCTTTCAACATCTCACACCAGTATCTTAACAAATTCTTATAATTTTCAGAAATACGCAGAAATTTTTAACTCAGTTACAAACCGTGGCAGAACATAATAATTTCTTTATGCCTGGTTTTACCCCAGATGAGATGGACCAACTACCAAACATGTATGAAAGCGTTATCGATGATCCAGCGTTTTTACATGATAAATTTATGAACGCCTCAGGTAGGTGTCAGAATTATCTCCCTTTCAACTTATCTCAACTTATGACAATCTCAGCAGAGGTCAAGATAATACCTTAAGATTTTTCAAAACGGTTCTTTCCTGTCAGTGATGCAGGTCAGCAAGACAAGTCTTTTAATCAAAATCTTGTCCAAAGACTGGCAAAATAAAGAGTGGAAGTTGTATAGTAGTGGACTCCCCCAAAGAGAAGTACCATCAGGTGTTTGGAATGTAAAGAAGTGTCTATTAAATATATTCATCTTGTTTCTGTTGTCAGATTTAAGTCTACGTAGTTTGATAAAGAATTTAAACGTTGTTAGTAATTTCTTGGTGTATAATTTATCTCTACCAACTGATGAAGTTAACGCTCTGTTTAATTCTACCATACACGTTGAGGAGGTGAATATTTTTTACTTTTTAATAATCATGACAAAATGCGATCAGAATTATGCAAATTTGTTCAAGTTTTTTTTTTACTTTTATGTTCACTAAGCTAACATTTTGAAATCAAGAAAAAGTATGATAATGCTGCTGTCATGGCACAATTTTCCCTCATTGTACACTGTATGGTGTTGCCTGTCTTCATATATGGAAGGGAATGTTAAATTGTTAACATCGCTAGTCTTTCACTGAGTGAATCTACTTTTGATTATTACAGATATATAATTATTTTATGGGAGAAGATTATGAAACATTAAGGAAGAAAATTCCACGTTTAAAACGAAGTGCCAGTTCACAATTTAACCTGCCATTTAATATTAAAGATATTTTACCACACGTAATATCAAAACTCTCGAATACATCAACAGACATCCCAGCAGCCTTAAACGCAATTCTACAAAATCTTCCCAAAGAGACACGAAATAAAGTTACAGAAACATTACTGGAAGAAATTATACTACATCCTGAATTAGCCAAGAGTAGAAACATCACCCAGTTACTTCCCATTGTAATAGACTTGATTGAAAAGTCTCCCAATGATATTATCATCCAGCCTGAAGTTGTTGCTCAATTATTGAAGGTAATTGTGGGATTGTTTTTGTCGCTTTCAAATTTTACGTCTTACTGATTGCTTGAATTATGTTGAAAAAATGTTAATTATAAATGCTAATTTCTGATTGGTCTATTACTTGCCAAGATTAACCAAAATGCTAGAAATTGTTCAATCATGATATCTTTCAACTAATTATTATAATTTTGATTGTTTTTTTCAGAATTTTTTGTTTTCACCGAAGGAATTAAAAGAATTTACATGTCATAAAGATTTATTTTTTAAATTAATCGTGTCTAATAGTCAAGATGGTAAACAGAAACTGGTAAGTTATGGTTGGCTTATCATCTAAAATAAAACATTAAAATTACTAGAATACTAAGGAGTGTCTTTGTAACTCTGGCGGCCTTATCCCTTGTCCTTGCAAAAATGGTGTTGCCTGTCTTTATTAGTCCAATTAGGAGTAGATAAGTAAGACATAAAACCCCAAGTAAATGAAAATCTACTTATGAAAAGTCAAGTTGCCCTCTAAGAATATGAGTAATAGAAATGAAATTTTTTCAAGATTTAATCTTAGGTGATTTTCATTTTAAACAGGCACTTCCCAACTTGTCAGTCTCTAAATATTTTGTTTGTTATTTTGTAGGTAAAATTACAGAGTAAAATTTGTAATTTATCTAAAAGTGATTTTATAGAATTATCACAATTCCTGAAATCACATATTACTGATACAGAAATTATTAATTTGGTAAGATTTACTGTTGTTATTAAGAGGGGTACAGTGTTTTAAAAAGAGTCTATGGAGCTTTGTGGGATAATAAGAACTATATGAAGTGAAGGTATATCAGAATTCTTTCTTACCTTGAGGAGGGTTTACAACCCACTGTACCTAATCAGACAACAATAATTAATCTATCAAATTTATAGAATTATTATTATATTATTTTAGTTGGATCTAAAGTCTATTAATTTAACAGCTACTGATGAAAAAATTGATCATTTTATAACTAACGTAAGTTGTCTTTTAATTTCTCATAATTTTATACAGAGTGATTATCTTTATTTAATAGTTTAATTTTTTAAATCCTTTAAACAAACATCTCAAAACAGCATCCATTTCAGAGAGTCCACATAGTTAATAATGTATATTTTCTTTCTCCAGGTGAATAAGTTTGTACAGTTTCAATCAGAGTTAGAACAGTTAGCTAAACTTGTTGAGATGTTACCAGTTGATCAATTTGATATAAAAAATACTACTGATATAGTTAATACTAATTCTACAGACTGGGATAATTCTACAGAACCTAATACGGTAGGTATTATAACAACAATCTATTATATATTCTACCATGTTTCACTGTAGCAGATAAACCTCATTCATTAGTTATATTAAAAATACTACTGATATAGTTAATACTAATTCTACAGACTGGGATAATTCTACAGAACCTAATACGGTAGGTATTATAACAACAATCTATTATATATTCTACCATGTTTCACTGTAGCAGATAAACCTCATTCATTAGTTATATTAAAAATACTACTGATATAGTTAATACTAATTCTACAGACTGGGATAATTCTACAGAACCTAATACGGTAGGTATTATAGAACTTTCCAGACACTGAAAACAAGTATCATTAAAAAGGTTAACCAAGGGCTAATGGAGATGTTAAAACTCCATTTCATTTCATTTTTATATATTTTTATATTTCTAGCCTGAACATCCTAAACCTTCTAAACATGGTTTAATCAAAGCCTGGAGTTTTATGCAGATTGCTGTTTGTGGTAAAAAACCCAAAAATTCTAAACATCCTTTTGATCCTGAAGACACAGGTAAGTAGCCATTTTTTACCTTTCACTTGTATTAGTTGATGTGTCTTCTTCACAATATCAAGCTATTACAAACTTTGTGCTTATACCTTGACTGTAATAACTACCTTTCTTGTATCATGGAATGCAGTGATTTGATTGGATTGTACACCAGCGAATACAGCCAATCAGGGCCCTTGATATAAAGACAGTAAACATGATGTTAATATTTGATATTACAGATAGTATCCATCTTACATCACGTCAACACAAAATGATGGGAATTATCGTTCATATTTTATACAGCAATCCTAAAGTTCTTTACGCTCCTGTTAATACATCAGCTGATGATGTCATATTCAAGGTAGGTAACTCTGTTTACTCATCAGAGATAATGAATATTCATATTGTTGGTTGGGCTTTAAATCAACCAATCAACACTCTTAAATGTGTCAATTTTTTCACACATGAAACTTTTAAGTACGGGCGACCCCTCTTCTATGAAAAATGGTCGTTTAGATTGGTGAAATTTACTGTCAAATATGAAGCTATTTAGATTCAGTGAACCACAGTCTCATCTATTATTGATAAGGTAACTTGGTTATAACGACAATGTTTATTTTTCAGGCTAATACAACGTTTGCGTTTATAGATTTAATAGGAGTATATGCTAATAAGTGGTTAAATGTATCACATGAATTAAGAACTTATCTTGAAAAACCTCAAACAGCTAAAAATCTACAACTTATTAGAAATGTAAGTATTAAATCCATTGCAATAAATACACTAGAATATGTGGACTCTCTAAGAGGAATTCCGAGTTGACAAACCCAGTTGACTATTTTCAGTAGTTAATGTATTGAGCACTTCTTGTGTTTAACCCTCTGCCAGTGCCTTCTGTTTACTTGTTACATCACTCTCTTCCCTTGTCTTTTTGAGTATCACATCTTCAGTTATTATTACCTTTCAGATACAAATGGCGTTAAGACTACAGAGAGGAATAATAAGACAATTGGAACATATTAAAGCGTTAGAGAAATTTATGGAAGAAGACATCCCAACTATTGATGAATATGTTCATATGTTAGATGTTATCGATCACGCTGCTAATATCTGGCTAGGAATGATGGAGGGAATTAGTTTAAATGTTTTTCAAGGTTTTGAGACAGAAGTAGAAATGGTGAATTATTTTTTAACGGAGGCGTATAAAAACAACGATTCTGTCATAGCAGGTGGGTCCTGGTTTAATTCGTGTCTGGCACTCGATTTATCATCTTCACATTATTACAGACTCTGTGTTATACCTTGACTACAATAGCCACTATTCTTGTATCACAGAAGTTTGTAAATGCACTGATTTGATTGGATTGTATCTTAGTGAATATAGCCAATCATAGCCCCCGAACAGTCTTTCTGTGATGGTCTGATATTAGATTTCAGTTTGGAGTTTGGATCATAATATCTTCAGCTTATTTTCTATTTGATTGGATTTGAGAAGGATTTTGAGTGTTCACATGCCTAAAATGATTATTTTGAATATTCTAGGAGTAGTATTTGAGAATATAGAAGAAGATGGAGGATTACCTCCCCATGTTCAGTATAAAATACGACAGAACGCTACGTTTACACCCTCTACTAAATTTACCCGTAAACAGGCCTGGTTTCCTGGTCCAGGACCTGGAGATTATCCTTATTATCAGTTTGGATTTGTCTGGATACAGGTGAGAACATCTTCACAATGTCAATCTATAACCCACTTCATCACTTTATAAATGCAGCGATTTTATACCCTACCCGACTGCACATTGTCAAGCAATTATAAACATTGTCTTATACCTTGACTGTAATAGCCATTATCAAAGTATGACTTGTATCACAGTATCACTTGTATCACATTATGACTTGTATGACAGTGGTTTATGATTACAGTAACAATATTTTGTATGTTTTTGACTAGGATATAATAGAGAGGGCTATAATTGATGTACAAGTTGGTCGAGATGTTATCGAACCTGGAACTTACGCTCAACAATTTCCATATCCTTGTTTTGTCTACGATCAGTAAGTTTATTCTTTCTTAATTTATTTTACACTTATCTTTTTATTTTACCTTCGTATTGAACACTAGAATCTTGTTTTTAACTTGGACAACTATTGTTAACTTTTGATTTACCAAAACCTTTCCTCAAGACCTCATCTTTGTTTAATATTTAGGAATATAGAGTTTTTATTTGATTAAACTTTGTATTAAGAGCGAAGAAGTTCCTAAAAACTCTTATTTAAAGCACTGACCAAGACTTTTGATAAAACTCATGTGAACTCTTGTTAAAAATCATTATTAATAATATTATTCTAGGTTTATGTTTATGATAGAACATGTTATGCCACTATGTTTAACTATATCCTGGGTTTATACAGTCGCTATGTTAGTTCAGAGTATTGTTTATGAGAAAGAACAGAGGTTAAAAGAGGTAATATCTTAATATCAGAAACAATATTAGAACCACTCGTGGTACTGAGTGGGACTTTGCTCTTGTGCCAATTTGCTAGAGAATCTGAAAAAATCAACGTTCTTAGCCAATTAGGTCACGTGCTAAAGCAGTTAAAAATTTTGAAAATTTCGCTTTTTTGGAAGGTTGTTAAAGCGGAAGTTGAAGCCAGACATAAAATATGAAAGTATGATTAGATTTCCAAGGTCAGTGACCTTTGACCATGTTAAGGGGAAGGTCATTTAAGGTCAACGTCACTAGATATGAGTCATCAAACTTTGAAAATACAAACATTATAAAACCGGAAGTTGACGATGAATATCAAGTATGAAGGAATAAATCTTCAGCCAAGGTCAATATCTTAATATCAGAAACAATATTATAATGTTATATTAATTAGAATGTCCTGACTCCCAAATTTCACAAAAACAAACAGGTCTGTTAAATATATAGACACAGCTTTATGGAACAACAATCACTGGTTAAAGTTTTATGCAACGTTTCGA